TATTTGAACACCAGGGTTTTGGAGACCCTCCAGCGTTCGTCTCATTATTTCATCCATCACAGAGTTGAAAAGGAATGGGGGGAATGGGCATCCCTGACGGACACTGCTTTGTGTGCGGAAGCTTTTGGAGAGCTCTCCGTACAACCATGACACTCACAACTAACAATAATCCCCTATCTAATTCAACCATATGCGTTGGAAATTAGGTTTAAAGTGATCGAGATAATCCAGTGTTTGGACTACTAATCAGCTGTTTGCAGATGGGGAGTGCAAACGGCTCACAAGTACCGTCCAAGAAGAACATTCATGAAATTTAGACGTCCATTATGGGGGTCTTTCCCAGATAAGCCTTGCCGAAAAAATTAACCCCCGTCACCAAAAGAAGATTAGAAAAAAGAGGATCTCGATGTGTAGATCTAGACTGGCGATAACTGTTGGAGTATGCAAAAGCCGCCAGGCGCAAACTTCGCGAAGCAAGTTCTTGCAGTCAACAGTGGTCGTGTGGCTGATAGATAATTCCTCTGTGCAGAATTTGATTTTTGCCAAATTTTCGGACCAGCAATAAATGAATGGAATGACTGTCCTAAACTCCATCCTAGACCGCTCCAGCCAAGTTCCTTTCGAAGACCGATGCCTTACCGACACCGTCGGGCATTACACCTCCACTTGTCAGAAACAGTTGAAAGTGTTATTTGGTGGCCATTATTGCATAAACGCTGCCGATGGATCACTCCGTGGCTTTGCAAAAAACGTAGTACCGTCTCCTTGCCATGAACGAGGGTTGAAAGCGTCAGAAAGTTCATTCAAGTTTTCACGTCCGAACGGAGAAAATTTTTTGCACAAAATGAGCCTAGATGCGGATAAGGAATTGTTTTCATCAAAAACAGGTCAAGGTTGTGTACGTACATTACATGGGAGCTGGTAAGTGGCGAGGCTTAGCTTTTCGCACATGCACTTTTTGCATTGGTGGCAGGGCTTATCTGGAAAAGATCTCTTTATGGTGCGCGGGGTCCCATTAGCCACACAACGTTCTTAGCTGCAAAATCTTTAAGAGTGGGGTAAAACTTTTGCGCCAAAATGTTGCATTTTGTTGTGTATGTGCTCAAACCAAGAACTATTCTAAGCTGCGTTCATATCTTTGCAGCTCACCAAATTTCATTGTCCACTGAAGCAATCATACCTCTGGCGGAAAAGTCTGGTGGAATAATTTCCCAGCATCACTGAGATCCCGGGATGCCTAAATGGGGCTCGAAAGTGTGGACTGGTATCCTGAACTCAGTTTCTCGATTGATTTAGTCTAACAGGGACATGTCATAGCCTTCGAAAATTCTATTCCATTGTGCGAATACTGAGCGCCGGTGTGCGGTCATCATCTGAATTCCACTTAACCTCATCCCACAACCGCCCCCACCCACAAGCCAACAAAGACCAACGAGATCTACCAACGTCAATCACGATGAATCAACAACTGAGGCACATTGAAGCGGAGGATAAAGGAAACAAACCCGATCAGAACTAATTTGAAACTCTTCCAACCCATCAATTCACGATTTTTGCAACCACACTAGCCGACAAGAGCCGT